ATTCCTGTTCAAAAATGACAATGTCTAGTGTAAATCAGTAATGTATCCAGACTTACTGCCTTTAGAATTGGGGTTCGCTAAAGGGAAGAACAAAAAAAGTTGAGATCTTGGCAACAGAAGGAATTTTTAACCCACCTCCTTTTCCAGCCTTGATTGTTATTCTGGTAGCATTTCCGAAGCTCAGTGAAATCAATAGGATCCATTCTGTTTACTTCAGTAGGCTGTGAATTGCTCCTGGAACAAAAGATGTCAGGAAACAGTTCGGTTTGCCTCACAGCATGTGTAAATGCCTCATCATTCAGGTCTTACAAGCTCAGAGTCTTTGTTGGTTTTTAGACAGCTCCAGTGAATCCACTGAAAACAAAGTGACTCTGTAGCTTTTTAAGTCTGGGAGGATGTTTATGAACTGTATCAGAATGCTTAAAAATCAAAACCTTTTATCACCTGCTTTCAATGGTAACAACGTTTTAATGGTTTTTCATTTTAACATGTTGTATAGAAATGATTGTGCAGGCAAGCGTTAAGCCAGTTTCTGCTCCCATTTAGAATATTTTAGCTTTTAAATACCGTCAATGGATTTCAGTAGATTTTCACTGGCATCAAATTGATGTGTTTTATTTCGTGTTGTATGCAAATTATTTCACATCCTGTATCAAGCACGATTATGTTGAAATGAAGCAAAATTATAAAGGCAGAAAGAACAAAAGAAAAAAAGTACATCTTTCTAACTCCATGGTCTCATTTTCTGTCAGTGTTGGGTTACTGGTGGTAAGAATTTTCACAGAGACTGCTTAAATTATTTTGCTTTTGCTTTAATGTTATTGCGTTATACTGACTTTGGTTTTTCAAGAAATTCAGTAAAGCAAAATAGTATGAGCAGTCTAGACTCATGTAATGTTATGCATTAACAATTTGATTTAAAACCATGTCTTTTTCTTTTGTAACCATCTTCCCTGTTTATTTTATTTCTCTCTCCCCTTCATTCTTTTTCATATGCTTTCATTAGCACCATGCCCAGGTAGGTATTACATAGCATGAAAACACGTTGTCCGTATATCCTTTTTTGTCACCTATCTCTGTTCATCCATTTTGGAGGCCTGCTGTATGCTGGGAAGTTGATTTGGAGAACCAAATGAACAACGCTGCTGTTGGAGGTAGCTGTAGTCTCAAATGAGTGTGATACGTAGTGGTGAATACTGATCCAACAGTACTCTTTGTCTAGAAAGGTCACAGGGTGACATAGCCACTGTCCCACAGAAACTTCCCTGGTTCCTGTACAGATCCTGTTAGCCAAGGATCAGGGAAGCTGCACTAGATCACAGCTGGTAGGTGTCCTTCTGTCCTTCTGTCACTGTGCTGCTGGGAAGGTTAGCCGTTTTCCTTCTCTATGTGGCGAAACAGTGGTAGAATAAAAACCAAGAGAATGGACTCTACCCTAGCTGGATTCTCCCTCTGGATATTGAGAGCCAGAACTGATTTGGGCCGTATCAGATCACCAGTGTTTGAAAAGACTCCATTTCATTGTAGGTCCCTTCCACCTCTCTGATCTATGACAGAAAGGTGTGAGGAAGGCTTTCAGTCTTTAAATAGAGAAACGTTTTCAAGGCTGATTTATACGGTTTTCAATGATACCAGCTTCTTTTCCCAGCTTCTGAAACAACATGTACTACCCACAACAACAGAGTCAGCGGGACTAGGGATTGCTAGAGGTCTGTCTAGGCTGGCAAGTGGATGTGTACTGCAACGTGGTCTCCCGGTCATCCAGATTAGAAACTTGGCTAGAGTATGCTGCTCTTATTTTCTGGATGCCACCTGGGCTTTATTCAGGGCTTAGAAGAGGTGGATGATACTTGCCTGTGCATTACCTAACACAGGCAAGACACACTCTTATGTTCAGGAGCTTTGTAGCATTCCTGGGTTCCACAGTTCAGTCTCTGGGGCTGAGCAGAGTGCTGTTGACCCCACCACCCCTGTGACTTAAGATTTATCAACCAGATTTGGAAAGAATGGGTATTTAGACATTAGTTTTGTCTCTGTGATTTAGCGTTTTAGTTTTCTACAGAATTCCTGAAGACTTATTACAATAATATTGTAATATTATTATAATTCTGAATTATAATAATTCTGTTCGGTGCCACTACACGTCTGTAACTGGACTGTCGTTTCAGTCAGTACCTTCATTTCTAAGTCTCAGAAGCATAGACCTTAACTACTGGTTTGCTCTTCGTTTAGCTGGTACAGCACACAGAAGAGGGGCAGTGTCATCTGAACACTAGTTTTGCAATCAAGTGTAGTAAGAAATTTAGACTTCTAATTTCCTGCAGACCTCAATCATGGTTGTGCATATCTTGCCTATAGATAAATCCATACCCTCAACGTATTGGGTATTTACTGGAGCTTACATGCATGTCTGCATAGCGGATATGTACTGGGCTATTTGTAGTAGTAGCAGTGCCAGGTACTTGCAGAAGGATATGGACAAAATCACTATACAGATAACCAGTCAAATCTAGTACCTACTGCCGTTCATTCAGTTTCTATCCAGGACATGATGTTAGCTGAATAGCAGAACCTACAACTTGGATGGTGAACCTCTTGCAAGCATTGCATGGTGCAGCCAGGCAGTTCTGAAAGTGTCCAACATTGAAACGAATCAAGGATAATGATGGCAAATGGGGTCTGCTACTGAGGCTTGTTTTTCAACCGAAGAACACGTGTGCACTGAAGGACTCTTGTTACGAACAAGCAAGGTGTACTCTGCCTATGCAATTCACACTAAAATGTTTAACCAAAATACTCTTTCAGTCAAGATTCGCTTTCATAATTTTTTTTCGGAAATGTTATATGCAGACAGTTAGGGTGAACTTCTGTCCCTAGTGAAATTTTGTTGGTGGTTTTAATGGAATCAGAATTTTATTCCAGAAATGCATAATCCCAATAACACATTAAATATCAGCCTTACATGTCTCACCGCTTCCACTTGTCTGGGTGAAAGACATTTCATGACATATAAGAGAAATTATGTATTGTTGGTTTGGTTTTTCCTCAAGACTTTCCTGAGGCTGATACTTGTGTGATACTTACCTTTGCTTTTAGTTTTGTACAATCCATCTAGTATGCTAAATAGGCATTGGTATGAGTCAATGATCAATAGCATGATTATTCTTCAATGTCATCTATTTCTAATAAAAAGAAGATAACCATTTGCTTCTGAAAATGGATCAAAAAATTATTAAGTGAATGTAGCTATTGTTAAAAAAAGGCTGATTGGTCTGAATCAGGTGATAAAATATGATTTCCAACAAAATCTGAATTTAAAGCACTTGCATCTCATGTCCATAATGTACACATGACTTCTTTATTGCTAACTGCTGAAAATGAATTATCCCTTAAAAATCTATGTATCAAGATAAACGGCCTACTGTTCTGATCCAGTGTGTTAGTCATTATGAGTACTACTCATGGATGTGTAAGCCGTGAAAATAAAACCTGCTTCCTTCAGTTGTATGTGCTATATTCCTCAAGATACAGAACAACATCACAGAGTACACGAACAACCTCTGAAGGTGGTTGATCTGTTGTTAAAAATGACTCCTGTAACACTACTGCTAGTAAATATTTAAAGGACAAAACTAGTGCTATTTGGTAGCAGAAACCCCATTTACCTCAATATGTCCTTCTGTGGTGTCTTATTTGTCTTTTTTTTTTTGCTTTTTGCTAGTGGATACTGCAGTTACATTCTGAGCCAGTGCTTGGAAGCAGCTTATTTACTGCCTTGCATCTCTCATTGCTACAGCAACCGGTTTTCTGTAGAGCTGTGTGTACTTACAAAGAAAACAGTGCTCACATTTGGACTGCCTCTCTAAAGATGCTGTTGCCATACAGAGGAAGAATTTTGTTTTACACAGGAGCTTGCGGCTGGCCACAATTCACCTTGCTGTGTGTACCTTCCAGGGGACAATATCAAGCTTATGTACAGTTTTAAGGGGAGAGAGTAGCTCGTAACAAAGCTTCAGAAAGAGGCATTTCGGCTTTTCTTCAGATGTTAGTATAATGCTTTTCCATAGTGATTTTCTTGTGTGACGTAGCAGGAGAGAGAACGTCTCCAAAGAGCCTTACTTAAAAGAAATTCACACTCTTTATTATGAGGAAACTATCATGCCACAAAGCCAAGTATACAGTATTTGTGACTATAAAATAAACTGTCATCTAGATTAATTTCTAGGTTCTGCGTTTTGAAGCAAATAAGTCAGTCAAAAGACTCTGTGGCCCTTGGTCAGAAAGGCAGCATAACACAGATTTGTAAAGCTCTGTTTTTCCCCCCATGACTATTATCTACTCCCCCTGGAAGCTGCATCATATTGCTAATAGCACGCTTTTTTCATTCTCCCACTCGCTCTATCATGACACCTTTACAACATCATCTGTACTGCTGATATATTGCTATGGCATCCTACCAACCTACCAGCCTGCGATCCTTCAGTTCAGACAGGTCCCACACGTTGAGCCATGCCTCCTACCTGAGGGACAGTGCCATGATTGACGATACGGTTGTAATCCCCAGCCAGCAGGTAAGCAAATGCTCTTAAGTTCATTCATCAGTTGGATAAATATGAAAATATAAAAGGATTCCAGTTTAGATTGTACTCATGATACCATGTCGTGTATGCTGCTTTGTTTATTTTAATATAAATCTCTCTAATTTTCGTTGATATTTAATGGCACGTTATGCTGTGCAATATTAAACTCTATTCCAAAATAAATGAATAAGCTGCGTGAATGTAGTACAGGGACTGTCTTTATAACGTTCTCCGTTTTAACTGATTTTTTAATGATGCTAACAGCCATTGGGCTATATATTCAGGTGATCTAATGAACTCAAGGCCATTGGCCTTAAAGATGCTATCCTGAAGCATGCTTGTAGTTAAAAAAAAAAAGATTTAGGAAATGCCACTTTGGTAAATCACAGCATTTATTTCACTGGGACCAATAACGTGATTTCTTTGAGCAAGTACAGAATGTTACAATAAGGGTTTATAATATCTTAATGCTATTATTACTCCTTTGTTTTCTTGTTAAAAAAAGTTTGAATGCTTTAGGTACTTCTGTGCAAAATATATGTTCTTATTGTTTGGTTGATTAATTGATTTTATCATAGTAAAAAGGAGGGTTTTTTGCTTACCAAGGTAACAACTCTGGCCAAAGAAGCTGAAAGGAATTCATATCGCTTAAGCTGGGGCCCTGAAAACTTGGACAATGTGACTCTTTCTTCCAGCCCTATTCATTCAGGGTGAGTGTATCAATTAGCATTATACTAGAAAAAGAGAAACGGAATACCTGCAGTGGCAGCAGCTTCAACTAATACTTAACTAGGGGTTATATTTTAATTCATTGCCTCCTAGAGGTGTCAATAAATTATGATCTCTTAAGCTCTGACAATCAAGGCAGCCTGAGTACTACACCATCCACTGAAATCACTGCAAGTCAGCGAACTGATGCCAGTGAGCTTTCAGTCAAATTCAAGAGGAATGAATGAGTCACTTGACACAGACACACAAGCATCCGAGTGAATTTTATGGAGAAATAAATACAGTGCCTTTTTAAAGTTAGTAATAATTGAGACCAAGGGCCTAATCACTCCAGATGGTGAGTACTTCCTATGCTAGTGAAGTAGTTCAGGTGAGCACCAACTCCAGTGTTTGTCATGATAAATAAAAAAAGAAACAGGATTTTAAATGACAGGAACTGTGTAACAGACAAGCAACCTAAACATCATGTGCTTTACACACATTTGGCCACTATGTTCATGTATTCTCACAACTGACTCTTTGTAAGCATTTGCGTTTAGGCAAGTTCATTGAAATGGAGTAAGACAGGTCAAAATGTAGGCTCAGCGAAATTCATACTTACAAAGCTTATCCTGGTTGGCCTCAAAATCTGTGCGTGCGTTTGTTTTAAGTGCTCTTACTTACGGTGTTTTAAGTAATTTTATTCTTTACACTGAATTCTACCCTTGTGTCCTGCCATCAGATTTGATGAGGCATGTGCAGATGAATTCATAAGAAACCGATGTCATACAAAAGCATTTGATTTCCGTGGAGCTACGTTGTACGCAGCTTGGCTGGACATCACAAGGAGAAGGATTTTTTTGTTAATCTCAAATGAGCTTGCATCCATCTTACAGTCCGTATCTTTCAAAAAACAACACTGGAGTCCCATTTGGGATGACAGGCAGAGGAACAACATTGTCATAACTGCGATTGCAAATTGAGTGATTTGTGACACACACTGAGAAGTTTGTTAGCTGGTAGCAGGATATTTGGCTGTGACCAATGTTGTTTGGATTTGCTTTTCTTGAGCTATAAAACTAACAAATTAAATGAAAAGATTTAATGTGTACAGTATGTATGTGTTTATATATATGTCAGTATGTAAGCTTTGAAATTGTTTTGGTGGTTTATTCTAACCCTAAATAGTTTACAGACTTTTTCCAAAGGATGTATTACTTTTCACTTTCAGAAAGGTAGGTCTTTCCAGCAATTGCAGAAGATGAACTAAATATTTTCTAGAAGAGTGGCATGTATTTCTTGGATGTGCAATCATTTTGTGTTTTTCTTTTAAAAAATATTAGTGATATTTAGATCTTTTTGGATGACCAGGATGCTAGTGGTGGGCTAAGAATATCTGATTTTAATAGGAGCAACGATCTCTGCAGCCTTGTATGAAATAGTGACATTTAACATGATACAGATTACGTTCTTTTTTATACATACCAACTAACTTGCCACTATATGTTGTGATAAAGAAGCCTATAATAATGATTACTCAGCCTTTGGAAAAGACTGTACAACACTTCATTTTTATCTTGCTTAGATTTGTCCGAGTCATTAAGTTAGCATAAACTGTTGGCGTGCATCTTGTTGACAGCTCTTTTTTAGGAAAATACGTTGACTACTAGAGTTCTGCTTGTAAGAGCTTATTTTAAAAGGGAAACAATTGTAGAAGTACTGCGTGCATGATTGTTGCATTCACTTAGCTGGAACAACAACAAATACGTTTGTCATTTATACCCCTATCATCACCTACACCTTCCTTCATGCACAGACACGCGCTATTACTAGGTTCTTATGAACTAGCAACACTGCTGACGTTTCAGGTGCACACATTGAAGGAGTATATCTCTGTCACAAAAGAAAACTCTTAGTGTCTGAAAAGAAATCGTGTATAAACATCATTAGTGGCTTTAAGCAAGGGTACGGCCTTGGTTTTGCCTAAGACACTGCAAATGTATTGAATTCAGACGGCGTTTTTATAAAGTAACATGTCAGCAAAGTATTGGACAGTAATTTATTTGGCGCAGATGATCTTAATTTGGTATTCTGTGCAATCTGAGAAAAAAATGACATGATTCTCTCCCTGCACTACTTCAGTGGCTAACCCCAAATTGTTGTTGGGTTCTTACTGATCTCCCATCGTGGGGAAGTGTTTCTGTGGATCACAGCATAACACCCCCAAGCAAAAGGATAAATTTATAGAGAACTGCTCTCTTGGTGTGGAATTTCACAGGCGGATATTTCAGCCTTTGCATAACTAACCAAAACTTCTCCTACGTCTGAAATTTCCCAAGGGGAAAATGGTTTAACCATCCATTTAAAATTTAAATGTAACTATTGTTTCAATATGTTGATAATTTAATCAATAAGGAAAGAAAAGCAAGATCTCTGGTTGGAGTCTTTGGCAGCCATTTCGAAAACAAGAAAATAATTATCTCTTAAGAGGTAACACTCTTTTGGTGCTGACAATCTCAACATAAACATCTCCTGCTCATTTTACACAGCTAATAGTTTCCGAATAGTTTCATACATTGGCTGAAGGAAAAAGTATAAATTCCTGCATTTAAACTTCCTTTCAGCAAATCAGATTTGCTTCTCCTGATGAAGCTATCTGATCTTACATATCGAGCAAATTTAAAGATGTCTGAATATGCCAGGAAGTTTGGGTGCTAAATACTCAATAAGGTAGAGATTTTTTGCTTTGCTGGTAATATTAGGGGATATTATGTATAATTTCCTG